GGCCCGGCCCGGCCCGTCTCCGTCCCCGCGTCTGAGGCGAAATGGCGCTTCTGGAGTGCGGAGCAGCCCCCGCGTCTCGTCACAGCTCGACCCCCGGTATGGACGGGCCCCTCTCTGGGGCGTCTCCTCCCCTCGGGGCTTCCCCTCAGTTTAAAGCTCCCACTTGTGTGGGTAAAGTGTATTTTAAAGCACTGCCAAGGGGAAAGTCCGCTGAAAGCTCAGCTCAAGACGCGCTCGGAAGAGGCGGTCAAGTTGTTCACGGGCCACGGAGCAAAATTATAACATTTACAGTTTATGACGTGGGTTTTTTTGTCTGTTTCTGATGCGTCCATAAAAGGTTGAAAAAATCAGGGTTATCCAGCCCTGGTCCCAATGCCAGCAAAACCCCCTCAGGAGTGTGAAAAGTCAAAAACTTTAAAAAATGCATAAATCCAGCGCAGTAGGAATAGACCTTGGAGATTTATCCAAGACCTGAAAGATTCTAAGTTTGAAAAACAGATTTTTTTTACATGAGGGGAAGAAAACCTCATCCAGGGTTCTGGCAGGGAATGCAGAGGTGAGACCTGGCGATCCCAAGGTGGTATGAGGAGAGGGAAGGCCAGTGCCAGGTAAAGAGAGGGATAAATAGAATGTTTGAAACGTATGGACCAGTGCTCCGGGCAAAGATCCCTGTGGGACAATCTTAGTGATGTCAGGAAGAAGGGGATTAGGGCAGTTTTATTACCGCAAGGAGTTGGATTAGGTTTTTAGTCTGAAAACATTTACTCTAATTTATCCAGTGTCTCCCAAATAAGTTTAAAAAGGAAACAAAACCATACCCCCGTTGGACTGGAATTGGGGAAGAGCTCTGATATTTTGTGCCAAATGGTGTAAGATATCTCTGGTGTCTTCCGGGTGTAATAAAACAGAGGTAAAAGGAGGGAAAACGGATAATTGATGCTGCAGACTCTTCTTGCCGCGCAGCAATTAACAACAGGCTGACGCGGTCTCGTTAGCGTCAGAGTTTTGCCTCCCCGCTCGTGTCCCATCTATTTAGATTATGTATTTTTGAGGGTGGTTACAGTCTTTTCCTCAGTATTTCTACCTGGCGGTGTAAGATATGTAATAATAATTAGTGAGAGCCCCCAGGGTAATTTTCTGGATTGTAGTCTTATAAAGTAATTACAGATGCAATTAAAACGGAGGACGTTTTCAGCCTCCGCGCTCTAGTTTTGGCCTACAATTGATTGCACCGTACCTGGCAAATCCTCCCCCGGGGACTGAAGGCGTGTGAAATGAACTGCGATTCGTGGTGAGTTACAGAGGTGGGAACGGGCCTGAATTTGAGCGGCACGGCTGCTGGGCCGATTGCGCAGGGCCAGCTACGTTTTTCTTGGCCAGAGTTAATTTTTCTTACCTTTGTGGGTTTTGTTGCCGTCATAAGAAAGGTGCGGTAGGGTGAGGGGTTACCAACAGATGCGCTCTGCGGATGACTCCTGACCGACTGGCTTCTCGTGGCCCAAGGGTGTGTTTTCTTTGCCTCAGCCACGCTGTTTGCACTTTCTACCACCAAGTCTGTATTTGCTGGAATTTTAAGGTTGTGTCAGGTGCACGGGGCTTTAGACTGATCATCAAGTAGCATACAGAATTTAAAACAGTACCTGCAATTCCACTTTATAATGGTTGGCTTAAAATTGTGTTGTTTTATCTGCAGGAGAAGGTCTGGCTCTCCCTTCTCTCATTTCTCTCTTCTTTAGCCTAAACACCTCTAGGTACGATGATATATTCCATTGGGATATATTCCATTGGCTGGGGGTATGTGAATTTGAGGGTAAAGCCTCAGCGCAACCCCCTGCTGCCTTTCCATATGAATGCTGGTGTGTTTTAAGGGGTGAGAAGGCTGTAAGCCTGACTCTGGGGGATGGGTAATGGGATCAGATCCTCCCAGGGTGGATGGGTGCCATGGATGAAGGTATGGAGTGCCACCTCTTCAGCCTTCCCGTGCCAGTCCATGCCTCACCTCTGCACAGGAATGGGTTTTGGAGGCCCAGGTCCTGTTAGCAGAATTTCAGTGTCAGGAAAATATATTTAAACTGCATCAAACCCAGGCAGAACCCCAGCAGCAGTTACTCTGGACCTTTGTAGCCTTTCTGTGGAGTAACAAGGTGGCTCCTGCATTGCAGTGGCAGTTGTTCCTCCCCAAACACCATTCCCTCTCTCCCATAGTTTACAATTTTTAATCTGTTTCAGCCTTTTCTCAAGCCCTCCAGCAGTGAGTTGACTTGAGGCAGAGGAGAGGGAAGAAGCCCAGTGGGTTGAAAAACTAGATCACAGGCTGAGGGGATAAATGACCAAATGTTTAGTTGGTAATGAAGGTTGGCAGCTGACAACTCCACCACACGTGGCATCAATTAGCAGCTGGAGCAAACAGAGATCCGACCAAACCCCGGCCTCCCTAATTAGTAGCACTAACTGTGCTCTGCAGGTGAGGTGCCTGCAGATGTGCTTTGCTAAATTTGGTAGATTACTTTCCAGAGGATCATTCAACTTATTTGCAATACTTTACCTCCAAGGGGTGGATGTTTTATTACTCACTTCAGCATCTTTTGGCTCATCTCTTGTTTGTTTTGTTTTTAATTTCTCATTGAATCCAGCCAAATGATGGGATAAAAGCCTGGTAGATCTAAGCAGACAGAGGTAGAAGCTGTATTCATGAACCACACAGGATTTGTTTTGATAACCCTATTTATGCTGTGGCTTTTAAACCAAACAAAATACCTGATTTAAGAAAGAAGCCTGAACATAAGCAGCAGCAGAGTTCATTCTTGACTGGTGCGAGGCAGATCAAAGCTTCCCGGCGTGTTGCTGTTGGGCTGGCGGCAGAGCGGTGCGGAGCTGAGGTCCCGATGGCACGTCAGATGATCCCTGGCATGGAAATACACAGCGCTGTTGGGCGTCGTGTGGCGTCTGTCTCTGTGCAATGGGGTTGGTGGAGACAGCGGTTTTGGATGCCTTGCGGGGGTGTCTCCCAACCTGCATCAGAATGGCTTTTGATACAGTATGCATGTGACCTTTTCTCTTTTCATGTGGTTTGTTGTTTGGTTTTTTGGTCTGTTTTCTCGTATTTGGCGCTTTATGGTGTTCCCAGAAGCTGGAACAAGAATGGTGAAATGTTGGAGCAGGGAGAAAATAGCTGCAGTGAATTTACAGGGTGAGCTACAGTAGTTCCAGCCTTCGCCTCCCTTGTTAATGCTGAACTCCCGTGTCGTGGCTCTGGGAAGCTGCTTTCTCCCCTGTGCTGTGTTCAGAGGGTGTCTTTGTGGCTAGAGAAGGATGGCAGAATGGCACGGGACCCAGATCCTGGGCTTCATCCTCTCTGCTCCCATGCACAGGAGCCTGGGCTCTGGTTTCCTCATTGGTGCTGAAGCTACATCCCCTTCGGGGGCAGAATATATTTATGTTTGGCATAACGCAGCTGCTCGTTTTCAAACGAGACAACATCGGGCTGGATGACTGAAGGTTTGGTTTTGGGGTTTTTTTAATAAATACACAGGGAAAAGGTCAGTCCCACAAAGGTGTATTTTTAAGATTTATGTATGTCAAACAGTGCAAGGCCCTTACCTGCTGCGCAGCCCCTTTCGTTATCATTCACCTGTATGGAAATTGGGTGCAGATTTCCATACTTCAGCGGGTCACCCTCGGCTTCGGAAGGAATTGCATCTGAAATGCCTGGAGAGGGTCTACAGCTGCCCGTGCTCACTCAGTCGAGAGAGGCAGGGTTGGGAACGGTGCAGGGCTGTTGGAAAAAAGCAGCATCTCGGCTCTGGTTTGTGACTCTTGCTGTACTAAAGCTGATACCGGGATATCACAGCCCATGGTATCATTTGGTTATCCTTGTTTTATAAATCAATGGAGGTTTATAAATCACATGTGGAAAATGATGGGACTCCAGTGTGGATTGTGGGTGAGGGGTTTTTCTCCTTTTTTCTTCTTTATTAAAGAGTTAGCTGGAAATTTGGCTTGTAACTTGAAAAGTTGGGCGACACAGACGAAGTAAAGAAAGTGTGGGGTTCATGGCACTTGCACTCAGTGAAGCTCCAAGCGTGCACGAGTTCCTTTAGGACAGGAATCAGACAGGACTGAGCCTATACTTACACTCTGTTATTGTTGGATCAATAACAGCAATGTTGCTCACAAAATTTGCACGTTTTCTTCCCCCGCTCCCCTTTCATGACTGTGATATCCGTCCATCTGGACTTGCTGAAACTTCTGATGGGAAGGGAGGGATGGAAAACAGCTTATGTGTGTGTGCAAGCTGTGCTTTCTTCATATTACCTAAAAAAGTGCTTCTGTGGGTTTGCGTTGAATTAATTCCCTGACTAAACATGTCACTTTTCAGACTCAGATGATTTTCTAATAAGATTCATTTTTGGTCTAACCTTTCCTGCAACAGGGACAGCAATATTTTTGCAATTTCTCATTGTATTTAACACAAAGAAGGCATGTGATGCTTAATGGAAAGAAGTTTGGATGTTTTTATAAGGCCATCTGTGCCAGATTTTACTTAAATTCCTTCATTCTGTAGTAATGCTAAATCTGAAGATAACAATTTGACTGCACACTCTACCAAGCTATTTAGAAAACAAATACCAGACGAAAAATCTGTTTTGCAGTTTTTGTTGCACAGTTATGTACACAGAATATGGCCACTCCGGCTGGTTCTGCCTCTTGACTTCAGCATCAAATACATCTGCTGCTGAAGCCTACGCTTACTTGTGTTTTTTAAGCTTGCTTCATCAATTCTGTGCTCGTTCATCCTTTCAAAATACTTGACATGCGTTACTCAACATGGAACAAATGCTCTTGGTGTCAGCATGACACATGAAAAACTTGTGCAGTAGGTACTGGGAGTTCTGGGGTTTAAGACTAGTCCCCTTAACACCAGTCATTTGGAGTTGGGATAACCAACCTTAATTATTCCCCGGGAAGTTATGAGCATTCCGAGAAGTGCAGCCTAATAATGTGGCTTCAGAACAGAAGCAAATAACTAGTACAGGGATTTGACATCCCCTTGAAAGGTCGGTCTGGGTGCCCACATCCAATATGCAGCCAGAAAT